GCATTCTCCAAAGAAAAGCTGAAATGACAAAGGAACGAGAGCCTACTTTAAACTATCGATAGAGTCCACCTGGGACTCGTCGATGAAACGAAAAAGATTGAATTCTCCAAGCAAGTGCTCTCCTTTTCCCATTGGGAAGGGGGCTGCCATGCAACAGGCCTTGGTGAGCATTCGCGGACAATATCAATTGGCCCTAGGTCAAGGTAGAACTGGAGACCAATTCTATCATAAGATAAGTATTGGATAGAGTTGGGCCAATGGAGCTGCCATGGATTGCCAAGATTCCACAAGCCTTTGTCGGCTAGATCCCAACCAAGTCTACCTCCTCTTCCTCTTGATCATCTTGTTCCCAAGTCGCTTTGAAAGCAGCTGGCTCCTTGATTGGATGCACTATGCAAAATTTGCTGAGTCGTTTCAAGTGGATCGGTAGTCGATGGGAATGGACGTAGTTGCCCATGGAGATGTCTTCGGATTGGGTCCCCCACCTTTTCCGGTCGCATTCATCGCTGGACACAAAGCGTGCTAAATCGGGTGACATCATATAAATCCGACCATACATGTAGTTGATTCCATTCAAAGGAAGTGGTCCAATTGGAATGATTCCGTCTCCCTTGATGGCAAGTTGCCCGGCATAGACTCGGGCATTGTCGGGAAAGGTTGGCCAGTCCTTGGTTTCTTCGAAAAAGGTATCCGTATACAGAAGGGTATCCGTATCCATCTTTCCAACGTAATCAAAGTAGAGTACCTTGGACATTACTTCGACAAAGTGAAACCATGTTTCCGTCTTGCCATCTTCCATGTTTTCTTTAATATTCAAGTAGACAGCATCCGGTTCTGAACCTGGCACCGTCATGGCTTCCAAGGGGGTAGTCATGGGCAAGGTATAGGGCGCAGTTTCGTTGGCGCCCATGACAAAGGTGTAGGCAACTTGACAATCGCTTTGCTTTATCTCTTTCTTGAGTAGTTGCTGTAGTGAACAGATCCGATGAGGAGTCTCACTCGTACTGTACGACGGAAGCCAGGTTTCTCGGATCACTTTCCGTCTTTCTTCTTCCAAATCGGATGTGTTGGTTGTGAATATACCCATCAAGAACCTAGGTTTGCCCTGGAAGGTTGGAATCGTGTTATTGTGAACCGTTCGAATAAGCGTTTCTTCGGATTTGTCTTCGTATTTAAATACTCGTTCCATGTACTGATCCCAGTATTCGAGGGATGGGAATGCCATGGCACCACAAAACGGAAGTCCCTTGACTCCCATTCTCTTGATTTTACGTCCATCGTCGGCCTTTACTTTCTTCTTCAAGTGTTTGGAGACTCGTTGTGCCAAAGGTTCCACGGCCATGTTCTCCTCTTCTTCTTCTTTTGGCTTATTTGGCATTTGTGGTGGCTCTTTCAGGTAGCCCACCATGTCTCTGGAAAAGCACAAGAAATCGTCTTCAAACTTTTTATTGCTGTCACCCACCGGGATGCCTGCAAAGGTGGATGGTGAATACTGTTTGAAGAGTTCATTCTTTTTGAAAAAGGGGGTGGGATAAATGTTGACTTGGGCACTAATCAATCCAACGTAGTGCATTTTGTCCAGCAAGAATGGATGCTCAGCAGTACCAAAGTAATTGTGACACCACTTGATCCATTCTGACAAAATGACAAAGTCATCTTGTATCTTGGGTGGAAGATAAATGGAATCAGGCTCGTATTTTCGGAAATCGGCCTGAATCTCCTTGCTTGCGTATTGACTGTGAAGTGCTTCCACTAGAAGAAAGGCATAGACTACGTCACATTCTTCCAAAATTTCTGGATTGGCAATAACTTCATCCTTTCGGCAAATTTTGGTACCAGACAAGGTCTCGGCATATTTGAGGTAGGTATGACGAATCACCCGCCGCCGTTGTTTGTTGCGCTTGTATTGAAAACCATGGCTGACAATGCCCAATAGCAACTTTGGTCGCTTCGCGGCTGGTGGCGTTGGCGATAATATTTGTAAGGATTCTGAATAGGGAAGTAATGGAAATACTTCAACAACTGCTGTAGAAGAGGAACTTGTCTTGTTTCTCTGTAGTGACGAAACTGAAACGGGAGCTTCAATCAAGGGGCCTGCCACTATTTTGTCTTCGTGCGTATGTGATGTCCATACTTGGGTCGCTGATAATAACATGGCCAAAAACAGAGCTATAATAACCATGGCCCAGATGATCATCGTCACTGCTGAACGTTTTATTTTCCCTTGAGGTTTCATCATCGCATTCTTCTTGGAACCTTTGTGTAGTGGGAGTTTGTGTTTCGTAGTGGATGAATGATTGTTTGGTCCACGGTAATTGGGAGGCATACCAAGAATTGAAGATATTGTCGTTCTCTTTGAGTAAAGCGCGTTGCTGCTTCAATCCAAAATGGTGAATGGCATGGACAAAGCAATGATTCAAAATGATGCATTGATGATGAAGTTTCAAATTCAGTCACGAACTGAGTCATGAGCCAACGATTATTCTCAAGATGAGATGTGAATGTGTACTGTACCTTGCACAGTACCAGAAGTGACTTTACTTTATAGGTCTATAAATAATAGTCTTGACTGCAACTTGGAACTGGCATCTGAATTATCGCAGGAGAACCGAATCTCCATCAATAAGGAGTACTATGATGACTCACCTACCACCGCAGTGACAGCTCGTTTGAGAATTGGTTTGGAGAGCGGAAGTCCACGTTCTCTTGCGAGTGCACGGGCCAATATAATAGAATTTTTGATTTGCCGTCCATTCAGCAAGTAGGCGGCACCCAATTCTTGGTAATCCTCATCGGAAAAGGGCACACGGTACTTGGCAGCCCGACGAGAACTCTTGGCAATCTTGTGAGGCATTTCTCCAGTTTCGGGATCAATGGGATGCTCGGGAACCAGACCAATCAAGTTTGTCCATACCTTGGTGCGACCCGACTCATCCAATGACGGGTAACCAAGCATGACAGTGATACGAGAGGCAATGGCAGGGTCAATACTTGAAGCGGCTCGATTGGAACTCAAGAACAGGCATCCCGAGTAGTATTCTAACAAGCGCAGCATGACACAGACCAAGGCATTCCGTTGGATTTCGGTACTGTTCCGAGCTTCCAAAAAGACGTCAGCTTCGTCAATCAACACCAAGGCGTCCCAAGTCTGACACAGTTCCAATACAGATCCAAGCGTCTTCTCCACTTCGGCGGCAGTGATACCTAAATCACCAGCGGTTACCACGTACAGTGGTTTCTTCAATAGTTCCGCAATGGCTTCGGCAGTTAGAGTCTTACCACACCCAGGAGGACCGTGCAAGAGAAAGATGGATGCGGCACCCTTGTTGGCCACCACATCGAGTCCAATCTCATCATCTTCATCATCATCATAGTCGTCATCACTGTCCTCCTCGTCAAAGCGAGGACCACCACCAGCGTTTCTAGCAACGGCTCGAATCAATTCTTTCTTATCTTCGGCCAAGACTAATTGCTCAAAGGCTTTTTCTTGGAATTGGATGTATCCACAGTTGCCAGCCTTGCCTTCACCACCCAATCCTCCGCGTTGGACACCCAACTTGTTGGCGGAGGCCCGACGAGGACTCATCAAGGGATCTTGTGGGGCAGCAGGTGACTTCGATTTGGGCAGACTCAACAAAAGTTTGCCCCAAACTCGCGCCGTAAAGGAAAATCCAGTCAGCATTGGCCACGTTTGCCAGAGGTGGGGTCGATCAGAATCTCCTTGTTCTTCACCAAACAGATCCTTCTTCTTTTCGGATCCATCAAAGCCGGGAAGAATGGCCGTTCGGAACGGAACTGCGATGCCTGTTCTTTTGTTTTGTTCAAAAAGTTTAATGGCCTCCTTGACGGTATCGGACATACCATCAGAGGTACCTCTGACGGGGATGTGTCCTTCCAAAATACCACGCTTGACATCAATCATGACACGACCACCCTTGGAAAGCGGTCTGACGGCATTGTTGCTCCATCCACCACGGATAATGGGAAAGAAACAATCTGACTGATATTCCAAATAGTGATTGTGGGTGGCTACTGAGGCGTAGAATTCTCCTCGTTGTTGCAAACGATCCAGCAAATCTTGATCGGCTGGATTTTGATTTGGCAACAGCTTGCGGTGGGTCAAATCCTTAATGGGTACATTGCGACTGGGATCATGAAATTCTGGATAGACATCGGAAGCGGCAACAAAGACAACCTCGTCACCGACGGATACCATGAATTCAATGACCAGAATGAATCGGCGTTTCATGGTATTAGTGGCCTTGTTCAATTCTTCCGTGTACCAAGATTGTACGCAAGAGCAACCAAGCGGACTTCCTTCCATTCCTTCGGGATGGCATACTAGTTGGGCTCCAGGTGTAAAGAGCTCACCCAACCCAGGATAGAAGCTGACCGTTTGAGTCTCCAAAATTTCATCTCGTGCCTTTTGTAGCGAAGGATTCAGTTTCTCTAGCTCTGCTAGGAAGTCATCTAATCCATCCACACGGATTTGAGGAATCTCAAAGGGATTGTTTTCATCATCAATAGTATCATTGTTTGTGACTCGTTCGTGAGCGACTCCAGCTCTTTTCAGAATTAGTTCGGACACTTTCTGAAATACGCCTAACGAAATGAAAGGAGTGAGACCCTCTCGCAACTTCAGAGAAGTTCCACCTACAGCAGCAAATCATCCAAAAAACCAAATATATGCTATGCTTTGGACTTACCACAGTTCGACAGCAACTCCATAAACCTGACTTTTCCCAATTCATCTTCTTCAATGGTTCCACCAATTAGTTTTATCACCTGGTCTTCCGAATCCGCGTCCAAATCAATCGCTCCAAAGGCATTATCACTGGAAGGACTCAATCGGCTCCAAAGTAAATTATTCATGGTCTTACATTCTCGTTGCAAACACCTCAAGACACCCAATTTGATGATGCACCTTCTCATTTCGATGGGTTGTTTCTTGGCAATGGTGTAGTCGGTCATCCGATACACACAGGGAGCCAACGGCACTAGAATATCCACATTGGCATTTCCATTACTGTCTTGCGTAAGAAGTGGTTCTTGCTTGGCCAGATCCATCAACACATGTTCCTTTTCTGTATCAAAATGAAAGAGTTTCCCTTCTGGAATGATAGCGGTGGATTCCTCTTTTTTCTTCTTGGCGGGTGGTGGTGGAGGCAATCTTGGGCCACCAATCTTGGGACCACCGCCGGCCTGTTTGGCCTGAAGAGCGGCCATGAGTCCTGCTGGAGCTGGCATTTCTTCGAGTGCTGCTTTGTCGGGTGCTGATGCAATTCAATCCAAACGAATGGCTTTCTCACAAGTGACAAGTGACCGTTATGATGGAAATCTTTTCGATTTCGGGAGATCGATCGATCGATGATGACTTGGAACCTCGACCCATTCGACTCGTTTGAAAATCTTGGACTATCTGAAGAATCAATCTGCTACCGGTACTGTACTCTATTACGATACCAGCGCCTTATTGTCATGTCATAATCCCAGAGCACAACTTCCTTTGCTGCAACAAATTTGTTTTCTATAGTGTTTTTGCTAGGAGCCCCTTTTGTCCCAGTTACAAAAGTAATAATAATACACCAACTAGTACTGTAATCTGTCTCAAAATTCAATCCCCATGAATGAAAACCAAGCCTTTCTTCGTTCTCCAGTGACTATCGAACTCGTCACTTTCGATTCTTCCATCATGGCAGCTTTGATATTGGACTGAGACTCTAGTTTGGCCACAATTTTTTCGGTCCCTCGTCGTTCTACATCTCCCATGAGGGGCATTTTGAACTTTGTTCGAGCCTCCTCGGATGGATCCGAGGCGAGCGGAGTATGTTCCACAATCTTCCACTCTTGCATGTTATTGCAAGACTGAGATGTTGGTTTTTTTTCTTTATCATTGGCTTCAGATATGACAATACCAGGCTTTCCCTTGCTGACTGGCCACAAGTTAAAGAGCAAGACGGATCGCATCCACAAGTCTTCTGGTTCGTGTTGATTCCCATCCTGTTGGACCGTCCAATAGACATCGCCCGGCCGTGGAACCCCATGAAGTTTGTCTCCTTGAAACCGCGTCAAACGGCCCTCTACGGCCGGTACAATGACCATTTCATTCTCTTGACCATCCGCAAAATCACCACCTCGGGTCACATTCCACACGACGGTAGGTCCACGCACATTACGGCCGACCTTGAGATACAAGACGTGTCCAATTTCGGGATGTCTTAGGGAATTTTTTCCAAAACCAGTGGCACCACTGAACATGAGTTTCTCGTGATGTTCTTCGTCCATGTCTGCATGGCTCATAATGAGCATCCATTTGCTGCGAGACCAGTATTCCACAAAATACAATGGATGATCACCACTATTCGTCTTGGGGTACAATTCCAAAAGCAACTGGTTCAAGAATTGTTCCACGGGATGGTATTTAGAAGGATTGTCGAGAGGGAATCGAAAACCAATGTCTTTGTGGTCACGTTCCACTTGAAGACACTCTTGGTGCAACCATTCTGCCGTTTCCCGGTCCACCACATTGTCGTAGACTTTGGCCAGTTGATCGAGTTCACTGACTGCGACTTGGATAATTATGAGCAGGATAAAATACAACGATAGCCTGCACATCATTTTGCAGTCGGACGCGATGAAGCGGAGTGGATGAGATTTGAGCCAGTGTCTCCGATTGATTACAGTATTGTCTCACAATATATTGCAAGGAAGAGATTCGAGTTTTGGCTTCGTGTTGAATCTTTTTGATTTGGGTCAAAGGAGTCGTCCGTCAACGAAGCAACTTGAAATGAAATGAAATGAACACTTCACAATAATCTATCGTCAAAGCAATATTGAAGGAGAAACCGAAGACAATGAATACCATATTCGGAAAAATGATACTGCTGAAGCAATTACTAATTATGCTCAACTGTGGTAGTCTCCAATCCTTCCAATACACAACAACTCCAATGCCTGCCAATCGGCAAGCATGGAAGTGCAAGGAGCAGAACGTTGTCGCAACAATTCCATACAGAAGATCCGCATTCCAACTGACGAGGATAGCTTCTCAATTGCAATTGAGCAATAATAATAATAACAACAATAATGACGACGAAGAAAAGGGGATTCCATTTCTTGCATCGGCTCTTGGCATCACGATACTACTAGCCACTTGGCCTCTATTGTTGACCCTTTTGCGGGATGTGAACAATCCCACGGATGGCTTTGATGTGGACATGTTCATGACACTCAAGGGAATGATAGATGGCTCTAATAGTAACGGAAATGTCGATATGAGCATGCTGACAGATGAGAATTACCAATCCATCGTGCAACTGCCAGCTCTATCTCCAGCGGAACAATTGGTGGGTGCCTTTTTTGGACCACCACCACCACGGTAGCAACAACAACAACAGCAACAAGACGGCAAGATTTCCAACAATTATACTTGTGTAGAGTATACCACAATACAATATAATAATAGTTTCAAAAGTTAGAATTCTGTTTCGGCAATTTGATTTTCGGCCATTTTGCACTTGTTGGAAGCAGCAATGGATTTGGGGTGCTTTGGACCAAAGAGTTTTTCAAATACCGTCAAGGCTTGCGAATGCATATCAAAGGCATTGTCAAAGTCTCCTCGAGCACTATTGACAGAGCCAATCAGACCATAGGCCCGGGCCGTCTCTTCGTGCTCTTCGCCCAAGACATTCTCCAAGACAGAAGTGGCTTGGTCAAATTCTTCGACAGCCTCTTCGAATTCACCTTGGGCGGCGAGCACTAGCCCGACGTGAATGTGCGCCTTGGCAGACGCAACAGTGCCTTCGCCACTCAGACTGACCAAAATGGCCAATGCCTGTCTGTGCGCCACCAAGGCTCCAACCAAGTCTTCCTTTTCGGCTAACAAATCTCCAATGCGAGAACATGACAAGGCTGTATCGGGGTGATCTTTCGACAAAACATTGGCGCGAATGGCAAGGGCTTTGCGATGTTGGATCAAGGCCTTTTCTTTATCGCCCATTAATAGCAGCGTGTCCGCAATGTTTTGATACCCAGTGGCAGTCAAAGGGTGTCCTTCTCCGAGGAAATGGGCATAAATATCCAAGGCTTGCAAATGGGTTTTGTGGGCAGCTTGGTAGTCACCCTGAAGATTCAAGGCATTCCCCATGCAGCTTAGCGCCACGGCAGTTTCTTGGTGATCCGAACCCAACAAGGCTTCCCGGGCCACCTTGGCCCGGCGGTATTCTGCCAGGGCAAGACCCGCATCACCTTGTTTGTAGTAGACATTTCCGAGATCAATATAGGTGGCAGCAGTAACAGGGTGGTCCATGCCCAAGCAATTCTCTCGAATCTCCTTGGCGCGCTTGATCAATTTGATAGCTTCAGCGTGGTCTCCTTTTCGGCTTAGCACATCGCCCAAGTAGCTTAGAGAAATGGCGCAGTCTTCGTCGTCTTTTCCCTTGAGTTCACGGATTCGAAGTGCTTTTCGGTGCCTCCACTCTGCATTTTCCAAATCTCCTTTCAGGCAAAGAACAATGCCAATGTCGGTCTGCGATTCAGCCGTCATTGGGTGGTTCTTGCCAAGAGATGTTTCGCGAATGGACAGGGCAAGGCGGTGTAGTTCCATGGCCGTTCCAAAGTCGCCATACTTGCAGAGCGTGGTCCCAATCAAACGGGATGTCGTTGCAATGTCAGGATGGACATCATTCAGCATTTTCTCTTGAAGCTTGAGAGCTTTTCGGTAGGAAACTTCCGATGCTGTAAAGTCACCCATGTCGCTAAAAGACTGTCCGATATCTTGAAGGGAGGAGATGACCATAAAGTGCTCATTTCCAAAGTTATTCTCACGGATTTCAAGAGCCTGTTCAAAATTCTGCAAGGCGCCTTCAAAATCTCCCTTTTTGCTTAGCATGCGGCCAATCTCGGTCATGAGCTCTGCCCCTTGCACGTTTTCACATCCGGCTCCTTCCTCTTGGAGTACAAGAGCTTTCTGCAGATGATACAACGCCTCGTCAATTGCACCCTTATTGCCGTATACTAATCCAATACTCTTATGGGTATCGACAAGACTCGCATGATCTTGATTCCCCTTGTCACCCTCTTTGTTCTGAAGGACCAGCACTCGTCGGTACAACTCGAGAGCCTTGTCGAAATCATCCATCTTCTCGCGACATAGACGAGCAAATAGGCGTAGCTGATCTGGATCCTTGGAACGCAGTAACTTCACCATCAATGCCCCCACGTCTCCATGCTTGTTCATCAATGCCAGGTCGTCCATAATAGCCTCCTGGCTTCTCCAAGGACCAGCAAAGGATGAGCGGAAGAATTCGTAATGCTTTGGCATTCCAAACTGCGTGTCTAATGCTTTCATGTCTCTGTGATGCACCTGAATCTCACAAATATGCGTCAATTCACCATTGTAGGACACAACAACATGGAATAGCAAATCCCGATATCCATTTAGGGCGGGTTCGAGGAATCGATTCTTTGCTTTGACAACGTCGCAATTCTTTTGCAGCCATTTGTTGACGTCATTCATTTGTTTATAGGATTTGCAGATCACACTGGCCCGAACGACATCGCATAACCATGATTCGGCTGGTCCAGGACGCCTGTCGCCATAATCTTCCTTGGCTTTTTCAAAAGCACGACCGCGAGGTTTCAATTCGGCAACTTGAATAGATTGAACGTCCAGTCCCATAATCTCGTCCGTCATGCTATCCAGAACCTTAACTAACGCTGGTCTGGCTTGTGCCGCAACGGTGTAGAGCTCATCAAGGCTGCTGATAATTTCATTATCTGTACTTCGTTGCTGATACATACTGCCGTATTGCCCATTGGACTTTGGTACAAGCTTGGTAGGAACTCGCATTTTCATTCTGCGGCACTTTCCAGCTGGATCAATGATTTCAGTTCGTTCCTCGACCTTCCTTCTAACTTCGAAGAAGTGCTGCAAACGGTCAAAGAATTGCTCTACCCTTGTCGCTCCAACAGTTTGCGTCTTTACCGACACTGCCTTTTCGCTTGCGTCGTCGGTGCGGGTATCATCACTGTCTAAGCTCCCATTGTCTTTACTCGCTGCTACGTCTTCAACGTCGGAAATGTCCATGTCCAAGAAATCCTCATCATTGTCGCTATCGCTACCATACAATCTGCGATGCGAATTACCAATGCTGCTCATATCATCCGATTTCCCTCCTCGCTCCGACACCTCAACAACGGCACCACTCTTTGTGCTTCTCTGCGAAGATTCCCTTGCTTCACCATTGAATGCATGCTCCCTCAGTGATTGACTTCCTTGACTCCCATGCTCCTCGGCAATGGAAGCAAACGAATTCCTCTTTGAGTCGGACTGAGAGTAGGACTTTGGTGTCATCGCATCCGAGGAGAATGAAGCACTTGCGGATAGATATCCTGAAGACCCTCCTTTCAGTGGCATCGTATATGGTTCGTTTCCCATTTTAAGTTGCTCCTCGAAGGCGTCAATTCCAAAACTAGATCCGGTTCCATTGGACTGGCCATCCAAAGATTTTTCACGGGAACCACTGTAGCCAGAGGATTCGTCCATGCTTTCGTAACCCACTTCATCATTCAAAGGAACTTCGACCTCAGTGCCATCGTCCATATCCTCATCAAAGTCCTCATCCAACTCATCATCTTCGGAATCGCTCAATTCGGGCCGTCGGACTTGAGATTGTGGAACTGCGGAGACAACATCATCAAACACTGAAACCCCGCTAGCTTGGAGTTTGGATTCATTAAAGAAACTGCGTCCACGTGGATGACCTTCCTGGTCCATGTTCCTTCTGGAACCGGGGGACCCAAACGAGTTCATGGAATCTTGGCTGGCTGATTGAGCCCTACCGTCCCGACTCCTCTTGGAACCCGATCGAATTGTTCGGTTCGTTTTCGAGCCAGATCCAATCGAGTTTATGGAATCATGATTTGCTGCACTCCTCGGACTCTTGGGACTCTTAGTGGAACTCTTGGAACCTGATCGAATGGTTCGGTTCGTTTTCGAACCAGATACCAGCGAGGTCTCGGAATCAACTTTGCCACCCAATGTTCGATCCTTGCGCATGGCACCGGAATGGCGCTTTGGACTCGGAAGTTTTGGATTGGTCGGATCGAACTGTTCGTTTTGTTCGTCGATATCATCCGCCAGCTCATTCATTGTCTCGTCCATGCGTTCAAGCATTTCCAGCAAGGGTCCAATGCTCGCATACATGACTCTTTCCACCAACAAGTCCATTTTGTGGATTTCCAACCTGATTTCGTCATTCTCTTGAGTTTTCGCCTTCAGATGGGACGATTTCGTGAGTAGTGCCCGTAACTTTTCTTCAGCTTTGCGTCCAGATTCCATCATAGCATAGCTATTAAAAGGCAATGCATAGTCCTCAGCATTCTTCCGTTGTTCCGCAATTTGACTGAGCAATTCGGATGTCGTTTCTCCACCTTCGGAGGTTCCTGACGCCGGCATGTTTGCCAAGAACACTTTGCGATCTGGATGGCTTTTCTTGTGACTACTGGAATTGGCCATTTTTGGCGTGGGAGGCCTGTTCTCTGAAGATGGAGGCGGTGGAGTATCATCGTCATCATCATCATCGTCGTCGTTATCGTTCAAGTCCTCTAGAGTTAAGGAAGCTTCTTCTGATTGCCTCGCTGAATCTTGCAAACTAGAATTCTCATCCGAATCGTCATCGACAATTCCTTTTTCCTTTCTTCGTCTTTCCTCCTTGAAAAATTCCGCTATCATTCGATGCGTTTCCACTTTCTCTGCTTCCCGCCAAGTGACTTCTCCATTCTGCCGTTGCTTCACCAAAAACCGTCTACCCCTCAGTTTGCGTCGTATCAGTTTGCCCATTGGGGGTGTGTACTTGGCATGCTCATTTTCATCCAATAGATGGCGAATGACCTTGGTCATGACGCGAGTGCCCGGGTGGCCCCTATCTTCGAAACATACATCCCGATCGTCGGGTGCATCGTTCGTTCGAACACTGGTGCGCAAATCCACAGCCACATTTGGTTCTCCAATCTCAGAGACGTCGTCATCGTCATCTTCTCCCCGGCCGCCCACCACCAATTCTCCTATCGGAGGCCTTGGTTCCATAACAAAGCTGTCGGCAAGCGACGCCAGGGACACTTTGGAATCATTCATCGGATCCTCATTTGGTGGAAGAGCCAGTTTTAAATTGGATTTCATGCTTTTGTTTTCATCGGGCAAATCATTTTCATCATTCTCATCTAGATCGGGCATGGCCTGTGGACCACCGAATGCAGCCGAAATGGTTTGATTGGGACCAAAGTTCATAAGCCAAGTCTCTCCCTCTGACTCTCCCTCTTCATGACGGTCCGAATCCCCGATCCTGGAGTGTTCCGTTCGTTCATGGTCAGATGGCGTTAGCATTATTGACTGCCGTATCGTACTGGCTTCACTTCTACGACTGGATCCACCCTTGCCCTTTTTCTTCTTCTTTTTCTTCTTCTTGCCTCTGGGAGTTTCAACTGGCATTCGTTCAGATTTGGTCCGTTCGCTCCGTATGGAGTCATCCGGTATCGTGCTGTGATTGTGCATGCTGGAACTTCGTTTGGACTTTCGCTTCTTTTTCTTTTTTCCAACTGGAGACATTATCGATGCTATATCATCTCCTTCCTCCAAGTCTATATTTTGGAGTTCTTTATGCTTTTCCTTTAGTTTGCTCTTGCTCTCCACCAAGCTCTTTGTGGGCGATGACAGATCAGTCGAAGAGAGACGTGTTTTAGCTGTGATAGCGTCCTCATTGGCAGTCTCTGTCTTCTTGGAACCACCAAAATGAGAAGCTCTCGTGGACAGTGATTTGAGAAGCTTCATGTTGTTGAGTATATGGAAGTCGGTGGGCTAGACCTATGAACAAACTCCACAGTCACAACGAAATGTTGATTGGAAATATTTTTGGTGAATTGCCTCCCTTTACTAGAATTGAGTATCGACTTCCAGAAGCTGTTTGAGCGGGAAAGATTCAAATATTGTCCTCCTTTATTGATGCTAGAGGTGCGTTTGAGTATGATGGAAAGCTCTTCTTGGTCACTTTCCTTCCGATTTCAGTTAAACCCAAGTCTTCAAGTCGCTCTTCATCTCCCACGAGTCTTGGTCGGCAGTCGGACGGTGCCAGTGAAGGGCACAACCACTACCCACAAGACCGCTCGCTTGTTAAGTGTTAATTGATCTAACGCCCAATCTGATTGTTTCGAATCTTGTCCTCACTTTCCAATGGTACAAAGTCTACACAAACTCCAACACGTGCAAATGGAGTGGGAAGTTTTGATGGCGCCCATATATAGTGTTAAACACAAGAGCTTTTATCTTTACGACTAGCGAACGTTCCTTTGTGTAATGCACAAAACCGTGTCCAATATCAAATCCGGAATTACCCGCCGCCCCCTGCCCGATCCAAATGGTGGCTTTAATTTTCAAGTTCTAGAGTAGCAACAATCATTGTTAAACTCAATTCAGAAACATTCATGCAACAATCGAATGATGTCTCGCATTCATGTCAGGTAAATGTATCCAAGGTGCAGCTACTAGTAGTAGTCCCTACCAGCAGCACCCACACTGATTCATTTTGTGGACCCCACCAGTCCAGAAGTAGCCAAACATCATGTTTATAGATGTTTTGCCAGTTCATTGTGTTTTCTCTTGATTTGATCAATCAATTTCACTTGATCATCCAAACACTTGTTCGAAAGAGTACCATCTGGTCCCAAGAAACCAGAAATAGCCCGATGAATAGCATCACACTGCCAACTGGGAAAGGGCTGAGGTGACGAATAGTCCAAAAGAACCAAGTAATTGTACAACGTCAGTACAAAGTTTCCCAAATCTTGATCATTCAAGAATTCTTTGGCCGGAACGTTGTTGCTCTTGCAAGTTATGTCGCCAGCATGCAACAATATGGACTCAAGATCGTCCAAAAATCCCGTCATTTCCGCGTGGACCGACTTCATGGGCCGCAAATCCTTGACCCGTACCGTAAACAAAAATCGAAAGAATACCTTGGTCCCAACCGTGACAATGACCATTGCGGGGATGATGGCCAACAATTGAATGTTGAAGCGATTCGTTTGCATCAAGACATCAATAGTTTCTGCGGCATTTAGCATTCCCACCTTGAGCTGTTGGACTTGAATCAAAATCAAACGAATCAGTCGACCACTCATGGCATTGAAGATCAACCCAGAGTTCATATCGTCTTCGTATTGCCGCGAAGCCTTGATCATGGCATCATGTCTTGTTGCTGGAGTTCCATCGCCAAACTTTAGGTCGCGAAGCATGTAGTCCAAGCTTGTTTCTTCATCCGCCTTGGTAATGCCGGTCAACAGTGAGGAACTGGGACGGTACATGAGTTCAGTCAACAAGTCCTTGACGGGAAGCCAAAAGCGGGTGGTGATGATTTCCATGGAAATGTCATAGGATTCTTGAATGAGTTTGCGCAATTTGGGGAAATAGGGCAAGAAGACGTGCTGATGAACCATCTGGGCTATAAAGATTTTGAAGACAGTGGAAGGTATCCCCAACAAATTCCACTGTTGAAAGTGGTTGAATAAATTCGAATCCCGAAACTTGAGTGACTTTCCTTCCCCAACTCGCCGAACCTTGTGAACTTCTCGGACTAATTCGTACATGGCTTTCCATTGTAGTGGAATCTCGGATGGCTCCGTGTAGTCCCTCACACGCCACGACTTGTGCAACTCTTCCAGACGCTTGTCCACTTTGATGGTCGAATGGAGACCCTTCTTGAGCGCATCCTCCACCAAATCGCAGAGAATGGATCGGGCTTTTAATGACCATGCGTCGGCTTCCTTTAACCATGGAGTTTGTACAATGTCATAGTCTTCCAATAGTAACTGCAAAGCAGTATTTCCTCCAATATTTATGGATTCTTCATAGTGCTGAAACTGAAACTTGCCTCTTTCGTCGGCATTTAGTCGAACTGCAAAATTCGAAAACTTTGGCAGCCACGAAGGGGCCACATGCGCAGTATCTTGCTTCTCCAGAGTTACCTTGACAGCTTTTGACAGTACTGAATCATCCATTTCAATCGGTCGTTCCGTCAGCAGACTCACCACCTTTCCGAGACGAACGATTTCTTGGCGGTAGGCTGCTTCCGCAAAGGCTAGTCTCATGCGATCACTTTCATTTGAGTCGTTCATGAAGTCTTGTACTATGCTGGGCAACAAGGATTGACTTTCCACTCGTTTTTTCCAGTGCTGAACAGTACGACTGAGCCGAAAGGAGGATCGTAATAGCCGGTCACGAGCCAGTCTTAACATGGCATCCAACGCCCGTACCTCGGCAGTTTGGTAGGCTACTTCCATGAGCTTGTCAATTTCAGATGTAATCTTTCGTTTCTTGCCATATTCGGGGACAATAGCTTGTTCCACTTGGGCAAATGCAGATGACATTTTCTGCACTAGCGCCCCATGAGACCCAGCCGGTGGAAACTGAACATTGAGAACTTGCAACAAAGAAATCAAAATTAATTGCTGCGACAATCCAATCTGCGATCCATCGTTGGAAGTTCCATCCTCCACTTCAGCCAGTGTCATTAGAGCCCTCATTGCCAACCTCCGTCTCACGCGTTCCACTCCACCAAACTTTTGATAGTGTTCATCGTCATCGTCTAAATCCAACGCTCGTCCGGTGTGATAATCCAGTCTTGATGCCTTGCTAATTAGCGCTTGTTCGGAGTTTTCGGGTGCCGAATACAGACGAAAAAGTCTTCCTGATCGAACGAGCCTAGTGATTGACCAAACTGCCACAATCCCCACAGGCGGCTGGTATAAGAGAATGCTGGATAGGAAATTCTTGCTTTGGGATAGCATCGTTTGAACCACCTCGGGTATCTGTAGCAAGGGTATGGGATTCTTCAGCGGTGAATCGCCAATTCCTCCATTTCCCTTTGCACGGGTAGCATGGGAGGTTGTTGTGGCCTCAGAAACCATCTTTTTGAAGGGAAAGTGGATCTTTGCTGTGATGGGTTCGACCAAGACAAGAAGGGCCAATAGGAGCAGTAATAGCCTCATCTTTGTCCGTCTTGCGGGTATTGGCACACTTTGAATGTCTTGACTGATCGGAATTACCAGTACACGTACGGTGTCAGCTTGTGTCAACATTCTGACATCACTCACCCACCCATCTTCGAAAAAATGTCCGATATTACACGGACATGAAATCTTGAGAGGTCATTGATGCCAGCCGAGACACTCTCTCGTGACTCGTACCAGGGACAGGTCACCTGCGAAACTTCTTATTCAAAAACTCGAAAGTACCAAGTACAAACTGACAATCATGTCGAGTTCGGAGGGAGAAGACGAGCCCCTTCCCGACATTGACTTCAGCGATGATATTGGCGATGACATTAGTAGTGTTGCCAGTCGGAGCGAAGGAGATTCCGATGGATCTTGGTCCGAAGGAGAATGGAGTGATGAGGATGGCGATTACAGCGATGACAGCAGCTCGGACTCAGATTCGTCTAGCGAGTCAGAGAAGCAGCTTGGACCAGTAGCCCCTATTGACGACAACAAAAATCCAAAGGTCAAGCAGTTTTTCGAGCGAATGCAGCACTTTTTTGAAATGAGACGCAACGTGGAAGATCGAGCTGACCTTATGGACCCATCTGATAAGTTTCGACATCTGAAGGTCAAGGTACATTCAGGAGGGATAGAAGAAGAATTGGAAGCCGAAGAAGAAGATGAGGAAAAAGATGAGAAAGAAGTGGAACCAGAAATTCGTTGGAAGAAAGAATATCAGCAAAAGAACATGGATAATTCTACAGTGAAGAACCTTGATGAACTCTATAATGTTGCGGAACAGGCACAAAAGGAACTGAAGCGCGTGCTGGAACTGATGCTGGATGAAGTAAACGGACTGGACGATGAAAGCATCGAAGTCCCCGACTTGAAGCCCCGTGATAGAGCGTATGCAAAGGCAAAAGAAGAATACCGACATCGGATACCTGGCCCTCCGGAATCCTGGCTTTATGATATCGTGAGGGCAAGCGTGGTCTGCAAGTCTTTCAAGCAGGTCTCTGATGTCAACAAGTGGTTATCGAAGCACGCCCACATAGTGTCAGGGAAAAATCGATTTGCAGAGCCGTCCTTCACCGGATATCGGGACATGTTGTATCACGTCTTGATTCCTGTCGAGGGTGAGCTCGCTCATATTTGCGAACTTCAGATACACCACAAAGATATCAAAGTGCTGGCGGAACAATCTGGACTTCCACATCATTATGAATTCTTTCGATCTTGTTTTGCAGGTGATGTGTATCAGGGAGACGTCTTGCAGGATCTAGCTATGATGAACAAGTATGGAACTGTTGACCGAAAGCTGATGGACGTCCTAATGGATTCCCAGGATGCGGCACAGCTCAAAATGTTTGCGGAATTGTTCCGGGAAAAGCTGGAAGAGTTTGATTCTGCATTGCACTTGTTCAAACGGATATCTGGTATTCAGCAAGGAATGAAAGATGATCGGAGTATTGCCGAGACATACTATAGCATTGCACTCGTCATGGGCGCCAAGCAAGATGTTGACGGTTCAATCAAAAACTTTAACAAGGCCTTGTCTATTCAAGAGAATGTTCTTGGCTCCGAACACATTGCAGTTGCTGAAACCAACAGTCAAATCGGTCATATGATGTGCAAAAAGTGTAATTTCTCTAAGGCCCTGAAGAAATACCAAAAGGCGCTGCGGATCCGGGAAGCAAATTCAAACGGTCTTCTTGTGGTCATTGAATCACTCAAAGACATCGGATTGGCACAAGAGAAGATGGGTGACTACCCAGCCGCAGAAGAATCGTATCGCAAAGCGCTGGAAATCCAAGAATCCTTCCTTAGTGATGTTCATCCAGATGCAGCCGCAACAAGGCACCTGATTGGTAATGCGCTATGCCAATACGGAGACTACACGAAAGCGATGGATGAACATCGGCTAGCACTCTCGATTCGGGAGACGGAGGTTGGAAAGAATAATCTCATGACAGCTGAATCCCATACGGATATCGGTATTGTTTTGACTGAACGAGGAGATTATGAAGTCGCAGAATGGAGGCATCGAAAGGCTCTAAAGATAAGAGAAACACTTCGAGGCAAGGAACATGAAGAATGCGCAATTTCCTTAAAGTACTTGGGCGACCTGCTTTGCAGAAAAAAGGATTGGGAAGGAGCTATCAATGAATTGACACGAGCTAAAGAAATCTTGAACAAGGTTTATGGTATGGACCATCCTCTTGCCTGCGCATCGTACATTGACCTTGGAAATGCGTATCTATACAAAGGAGATGTCGACCATGCATTGCAGGAGTTCCGACGAGCGAAAGGGTTGCTTGAGACTACCCTTGGTGAGGATCATCCAGAGACAATGGCTGCTTACAATGCACTTGGTCGGGCTTACACCCTGCAAGGCGACTCAGCTGAAGCTCTGCACCTGCTTCAAAGAGCATTTGAAGTCTTTGAAGAAAATCTGGGCAAGGACCACCCAACAACAGCAGCGACTTGTCAGTATATTGCAGACGCCCTCCTCGTTAATGGTAATTTGGATGAATCCTTGGTGCAACATCGAACGGCACTATCCATTAGAGCCAATATTTTAAGTAAAGATCACCCAGACACCGCCGTGTCCTGTGCACGGGTTGGAGACATGCTTGGGCGCAAAGGGGATTTTGTTGGTGCCGCAGTTGCCCACCGACAGTCACTGTCTATCACCGCTATTCTTTGTGGTGATCGGCACCAGGAGTGTGCGATAGCTCGTGTGAGATTGGCACGCATCTTGGCAGCGCAGGGCGATTTCGATGCCGCTATCGAAGAGATGCAGCAGGCCATTGAAATTCAAACTGCAGTTCTTGGGAATGAGCACGAAGACACCGGAAGGAGCTTGTCAGTAATTGGTTCAATCCACAGTATGATGGATGACTTTGACGCGGCGCAAAAGGATCAGAATTCAGCTGTCGATATTTTGCAAGCAAAACTTGGTAAGAAACACCCGTGGACAGTGGAAGCCAAGGAGAAACTTGAATTGGCGGAAACCGGGACGAAGGAAACAGATATATTTGAGCCTGTCATCCAAAAGATTACAGGTTCACGGCCCAGTTTCGAAGGTGGCTCGTTCATGTCGCCAATGAGTACCAAGAAAAAGAAATCTGTGGCGCCAATTCCACCGGAGGCTCCTATCACACCTAGAAAGGCAGCGGAAGGCAAGAACGTGCCTTTGCCTGATGCTGGATTGACACCTCCGCCCAAAAGGAAGTCGAAAAAGACCAAAAAGGCAGCAGTCGGCGAAGATGAAAATGACGAAGGAACCAAATCCAAGAAGAAGAAAAAGAAGAAAAATGGAGAGGGCAAGAAAAAGAAAAAATCCAAAAAGGCAAAGGATGGTGCAGATGATGGAGAGGGCAAAAAAAAGAAAAAAAAGAAGACCAAAAAAGCAGGCGGCGAAGAGGGAAATGACGAAGGAACCAAAAAGTCAAAGAAGAAGAAAAAGAAGAAGAAGCCAGCAGAGTGATTTTAATATCGCATGTGTCCATCACTTTGCCTTCGGTGTTCTACAGAACGATTGAAGATGACCTCCCCATTTCTCTTTACCAGCTTTTGCCAGTAGTTTCGATTGCAATGCGCGACGTCATCTTGATAGCTAGTAACGATACTGTAACGTGCATCTTGATGTCACCATATTTCACGAGCGTAGACATGATATTAATAGTAATCGGACTTCCATGTCACACATACTTTTCGCGTGGGTCTATTTTGAAAGGACAAACCCTCCTTCCATTTGCACCACTGACAACAGTGTGAACAAGGAAATCTTCCTGCCTGTCGAAGAAACTATGATCGAGCTTATGCAATGATATAGATGACGCCGGAGGATTGGATGCGAAGGTCGTGTCCCACGCTGTCTTGACGATAAGCTTAGTCCAAGAAGCAGGGACTTGTCACAGAATCCCCAGATCGGAATCACTTCCAATTGTGTACCCTTGCTGGCTCGTTTCCACAGAAGAAATAACGACAGTGCAATACTCACTTCAATGCCATGTGGTTTGCCTTCCGTAGTAGCTGGAGGGAAATTTGTTTATTGAGAAATGAAATGGTCGTCTTTGCGAGATAGATCTCTGAGCTGCTCCATTTCCACTTGGTCTTGAATCCCTCCACCACGAACCCGAATGAATGCTTCATTGACATATTTACTCATTGTCTCTATAAATTTGTGTCATCAATCATGCTCTCATGATGATAGATGATAGTTACTTAGTCTGGTGCTGTGCTGTACAGTATTGTGATTGCCTTTTGTTACGCGACGTTTCCCTCGAAATAAATGGGACGGACTTGGGAAATTCGGTAAAAATTAGGGAATGCGGTAAAAATAAAGGGAATGAGGGACACCGTTTTGTTTGCGGATATGATTGCGGACAAACAAAGTCATTTTTCACGGTGCTATTTTCAAGACTTTCAGAAATTACTATCCACTTGAAGGTAGCACCCATCTTTGCTTTGCTGCACTTGGAGTTCCAGATTTGACACCTCCCTGCTCTGAAACAATCCAACCCAAGCCACAAAAGAGTGATTCTGCTGCCTCATCTCCTTTTTGGATAAAGCAAACACAAGGTTTGTCTAGTTCTTTCAAAACTTTTGACGCTTCTTGTACCAACAGTCTCCCGTATCCCTTCCGTCGGTATTCTGTTTCCACGTGAAGCATGCCCAAGGTTCCATCGCGAGAACGGACAATATGTGCGCACAAGTGTCCATCCTTGTTTTCAATGCCAAAACAAGCCAATCCCTCCTCCAGACAGTCTTGGGTCGTTCGCAACAAGCTAGTCCGTGATTTGTGACACAAACTATAGTGAATGTGTTTGGCATCGTTGACAGCCAGCGGTCGGAGAATGGCACCGTCTTGTAATGTTTGTGGCTTTGGTTTTTCAAAGAGAGTCTTTTCGACTCGTCGCCGACGTTTGTTACGTTCATACAGTTGCTTTCCTTTTTGTCGAGGATCATCCTGTCGATTTCGCTCCATGGTCAGTTGAATGTTTACCATGTGTTGCAAGACTCCTTTGAGATAGGTGGCAGTCTCGCGGGCTCCTTCCAACAAAACCAATGATTGGGCACAGGCTTCTAGTGTAGAGAGACAGTGTCCCTCTGGTTCTTTGCGGATGGCATCATACAAACAAGATGCTGGGGCAGTGAACTGTACTTGCTGACAAGCATTTACAAGGTCTTCTGAACCTAGTGCCATCCTCTTTGCTTCTGCCCAAGTGCCGTCCATAACGATGAGTAGATTGTCTTGCTTCCGGATTTCTTGCAGTGTTTGGATCAGGTTTGCATCCATGTCTACCATATTCGCTTCTTGTTTGCTCTCGTCGTCTTCAAGATTGCCAAACCCATCCAACGAAATGGCATCATCTCCGGGAAACAGCAACAATGGTCGTTGTCCTCGATCTAGACATTCCTGGACAATTTGCAAGCCCTTGACCTCAAATTGATAGTCTCGTTGTACTTGCACATTTTCCAGCACCAGAGACATAAGTGGGACGGTCGAAAAAGTTTTCTTGCGAAATTCATTGGGATGTTGGAGTACCAATAGTTGCGTTCGAGTCGACAGCTTTTCGGGCGGCAAGGCATCGCATACGCAAATGACAGGGGGTCGATCACAGCCTGGACATAGATTCCGGGTTTTGGATTGTCGTTCTTCTTTGCGTCGTTCTCCTTTGGTGATACTAGAAGCAATTTTCACTTGCAAATGAGAGGGTGGTGTCTTTTCACCACTTTGTGATAGGTCTTGTTGGGTTCTTGTTTGTCGGCCAGCATTCTTTGGTCCACTGGTAAGAGCGACGGCTGGTTGAAGGAAGAGGAAGAACTTAGCAAGAGCAATTCCTAGGTATAGCCATGACGATAGATTGGACTTCCTTCCCATCACTGTTATGTGGTGACAAATGGCCAAGTGGTTGAAGTGGTCATGAATTTTATTGTTTCGTTTCGGTGTGATGGGGTGTATGTCAGGTCGAAGGAGTCGGACGCCTGCCAACAAACTCACTCTGGAAATCCTCTTCAACTTGCCCACCGTGTACAGTAGCATGAAAGGACACCTGAACGAGGTGACAAAGAGCAATGATGACGATAGCAACAACCAACGGCAGCGAGAAGATTGGGAGAGGCGACAAAATGCTACGAAAGAGATTTTGGATACATTCGTCAAGCGCACTGGCGTATCCCAGTCCAGTGCGAAACAAGACAATGGCACCATGAATCATCGGTCACCACTTCGTCGACGACGGTATTTGTGGACTGATGCTTTTGCCCTTGCAAATTTTGTAAGTCTGAGCCACAATACTGAGAAGAAGGAAAGACAGCCCGAGAAAGCAACAGCAGCTGTCTATCAGGAACATGCTCGGAATCTGATGGATGCTGTTCACGAAACCTTGGCCAAGCATCGTCTGGGCCATAAGGAACCTCATAAAGCAGCAACTTGGTTGCCCAATGCCTCGAACGAACATCCTACAGCAGGAGGACTCCGAATTGGAAAGCCAGAAGACGAACGACCACTCAATATCCCATACAATTCCGAAACGGAATGGGACAAGGATGGACAATACTTTCATTACCTGACCAAATGGGCGACTGCCCTGGACATGGTCACGCGGGGTTGCGGCGACACTATCTATACAAAATGGGCAATGGAACTCTTGCGAGTGGCCGCATCCAAATTTGTCACGCATCAATACGGACGGCCACAAATGTACTGGAAACTCAGTATTGACATGTCGCGACCACAAGTTTCTTCCCAGGGAGCCAGGGATGCACTGGAGGGATACATCCTAGCCAATCGATTGATTGCTACCTGTGAACAATGTCAAATTTGTACGCCTCTTTTACCGACCATGTTCCATCTACAAGGTATCTTTTATTCCATGATTCATATTGTCGAAACAAATGATGATCCATTGGAGTAAGATGATTTCGTCGTCGTTTTGTGTCCCTTGCCTTTTCACTTTGCTCTCACAATGCATCTGTTTTGATTGAATGTATATAGATTGGGTGGCATGCTCCTAGACATATGTCAACTAGACATGCTGCAGAAGCAAATGGGGCCTGACGTTCATCGCAAGGCTTTGTTGAATGATATGAAACATGCAGTGTTGAGCGGTTTGGAGTCCATTGCCCAAAGCAAGGAGCTGAAAGGTCCACCAAATGAACGTACCCCCTTTCGAGAGCTGGGGCTATCCCTTGGTTTGCGGGTGGTCGAGCAAGTGCTTTTGGATGAGTCGTTCAGCTCCTTGTTGTCAATCACAAGCAAATTGTCAACCTTTGAGGAAATACTTGTCTTTCTTCCTCTAGCAGAGCAGATCGAAACATATTGGATGGATCCTCAGCGCCAATTGGCCAGTTCATGGACAGATCACTTGGATATGAATGAGATCATGTTAGCGTCGACCTTGAATCCAAACTGTTGGTTACAATGATAAAGTGGCAGCTAGATAGATATAGAATGATTCCCCTTACTGTCTAGTGTTACAATGGCTCTATTGACGATGAAAGAAGTGGTCTTCATCGCGCGAAAAGGGGTGTGTCGTGTGGTCTATGTTATGGTTGGATGTGCTGTGCTGGGTTGCTGCACTTGTAGTAGTTACAAGTCAGGATCGATTTCTTCCTCCTCTTCTCCGAATCGATTTGGGTGTGGCGATGTAGCTGGTGTGGGCGTGATTGTTGGGAGCAACGAAAAGGTAGGTGGCGCCATGGAGAATAGACTCGCAGCGCCTTGTTTTTGTCCTTCTTGTTTTTGTTGTTTGGGCTGTTGCATCCATTGATTGTTGTCTTCATCACCCCAATCATCGGTGTCTCCTCCCAATGCATCAAATGGATTCTTATGCGCTATTGGCGACGTTGGTTCTTTGATGGCGACAGCCCAAGACTGATTTGTCCGTATTGGTGTGGACGAAAAAGAACCAATCCCTTGCTGTCCCACACCCGTCATGGTTTCCATCCGCCGAGTGGTTTCCTGTAGCATTTGATGGGGAGTTTTCTGGAAAGAGAAGGTGGCCTCTTGAAAACCAAACGATAGAGCACCGCCCTTTTTGGACGGTTTCTTTTTCTGAGCTGCCATCTGTCGCTCTTGCAAGGAGGCCAGTTGACGTTTGAATTCAGCTTGTTCGTCACCTTTCAATGAGGACTTTTTCTCTCCACCAGTGCTGGGAAGAGCTCCAGCAGTTTTAGCAGGAGTTGGCATAAAGACCTTCTTGGTTTTCGCCTTTAGCTTTTGCCTCAATGAAGCTTCCGTTATTTTCTTTCCGTTTGCAGCATTGCCATAATTATTCTTGTTGGACACTTCGACAGAAAGGATAGCAGACGACTTTGTTTGTTGTTGAAATTTACTTGTCATTCCCTTTGACACAGCGACACCCCCCAAAGAAGTTTTCTTCCCATTCTTTTTCTTGGCATTCGCCTGCTTTTGTTTCGCCGTCTTGGACCTTCGTTTCCCCATATTTCCCTGTTTGTTGCCTCTTATTCTTTGAAAAAAAGTGAAACAATGTCAAACAACTGATAGATGCTTCCAATTTTGCGTTTTCAGTTTTCGTGGTGAAAAGGGCGAAAATTTAATACTCTCGGTGTTTTTGAATTCCTAATTCTCGATTCTCGATTCGACAACTACAATATCATTGGTTGGTTGTCAGCTCCCCCTTCCCCTTCGTTATCCCTCGCTTTTAGTCGATCCCCTAAAATCAGCGACAAGTCGATGCGATGTCGCATGGCAGGAACAGAATTTCCCACCAACTCGTCGGCTACAAACTTCCGGAAACAAAAGGGTGTGGCGTCCACCTGGTGGATCCAAAAGAAAGCTACCACCGCCACACCGACTGCTTCACCGATTACACTTTGGAATCGGTTATCCGAATAGGCTCAGCTCTGTACAGAATCATCAAGATTTAACATCCATCAGATTCCACTTCAACCCGGCCGCCCGGCACATCACACGACGTCGTCCTTCTTCGTGACGAAACAAGCCTCAATACATCATGATGGGCGGCGGCTCAGGAGGGGGCACTAGCCCAAACTTCAATCCACGGCCACCAACCACGTATTATCTTGCCAATACGGGAGAGCAAGCGCAAACCTACTTTTTGGATCAACAGGCATCCACACATCGGCGGCTTAATCAAAAAAAGGACATCCGAAACAGCAAATGGAACAATGATAGCAGCAACAGTTTGAATAGTCCGCGAGATCATACTACTCCGCGCATCATCAATCGCAACGTACCAATCATTGACATTAAACGATCACTATCAGGAGATCTATCCGCATTGGCACGAAAGCCGCTCTTATACAAATCTTCTGGTGATAGTGGGTACTATGGCTCAATCAACAACTCGGAGCGGCCTGAAAATTTGTACACCATTCGCTTTCAAGTTGTCGTTTGGAACATTGGCAAGCTCGATGTTGTGTCAGCATCTGTCCCCATGACCTTTCGAGTCACCCTGTTTTGGAATGACATTGATGCGGATGGCATGCGAGACGACTTGACGGAAGATGGGAGTTATGTCTCCTCCAGCAGCAGATCCATTAATGTGTGGCGGATGCACGGCCGACAAAAAGCCGTACAACAAGAAATTGCTGGCGACGCGGCCTCACTGCAACAGAAAATGCTCGAAGTGCCGCCTTTGGCCATTATGAATTGTTCGACGTTTGAAACTATTGGGAGTCCGGAAGTTGACATGCTGCAGGAGTCTTCGCGACTCATGCGATGGTCCTGCATGTATCGGGCCACTATGATTCAAGAAAACTTGCGAGTGGATCAATTTCCTCATGACGATCACGACATCTACATTCAATTGGCAATCTTGTCCAACCGAGGCAAGGGAAAGCAATGGGATCGACGATTGTGGAAGCTCGGTTTGGCGACCTCGGATGATGCCCAAGGCTCAACTCGAGTGCCCCATGGCGTCTTGGTGGACCAAGCTCGATTGCCAGGCTTTTCCTACAACAAGGAACGAGGGCTTGACTTTAAATTTGTTCGAATGGAGCATGGAGCCTTTGACAACCACACTGAGGAGTCGGCTGAGGAATACCTTAAGGTGTCACTAAATGTTCTCCGCGAGTCAGGGTACTACGACAACAACATTGTTCCACTCTTGGCCTTGATGAATGTTGTCGCTGTGTCCGTCCTCACCTTTAAGGACACAGAATTTTTCTACCGTGGTTTGATCACTCTGAACATTGCTTTTGTGGAAATGAGCATCCGGATGACCGCTGATTCCCACTTGCCTTCAGTGGGGTACGAGATTCGATTGCAATCCGTTCTGAATCAATTTTTCTTTGTCCTCATGCTGTTGGTCTTAGAGGCTATGGTCGTCAACGTTTTGGTGGTCGACTATCAAATATCCGCCGATATCACTCGCAAGATTGATGTGGCGACAGGAGCATTGGCCATCATTCACAATTTTTACACTGTTGCATCCTACTATGAATCCGCTCGACGGGCTCGACGACGACTGAATGGCAAAGAGAAAAGTTCCAATGCAGGTAGGAAGTCTTTCCGTGGTAGAAAACCAGCACCTGTGTGAAAAAGTAGACGTCTACCAAGCCAGATCAAAAGGCCTTCTTTCTCTTTTGGGTGATGGGTGATTGTTGCCGTACTATTGGACGCATGCATTAAGTTTTATTCCTCTCAGTAAATGTCATAAGAGGCAATTTTGTGCACGCTTTGTATGTCCATTTGATTTATCTTGTCCATGTAGAATCGTAATATGTAGCAAACTTACTGTTGTACCTACCAAGAGAATGGTGACAAAGATGTCACCCAGTTTTTTGCAGAATGGCCTCTGGGAATCGCGGGCATTTTGCATCCGAAGCGTTGTAACTCCGCTATGCATTCCCACTCAAACTGCACAAGCGAAAAATGGTCTGATTGGTTTCTCATTGATTAACAGACTATTACTCTGCGCAATTCGCAATTCGCAATTCTCATTCTTCGACATGTATTCATAGTCTCGTCTGTTTTCGATCCGTATTTCAGAAAACCCATCACAATTCTTCGCATTTAGCCATTCTTTGATTTGGAGAGTGGTTAGTATGCGAACTGTTGCAAATTGTGATGCTATTGGCATAACACGGGGTTCTTTTTCCAGGCATTTATGTTCCTCAAAATTCGAACCTTCGCCAATGTCATGGACTTGATATTTGTGGGCTACCATCCACAACTTTTAAAAGACAAGATCTAGAATGACGTACTGTGGCTTGATACTGTCCACATTGATTTCACTCCGCATGTTTGCGAGTGCTCATGATCTCAATACATCATGCTTTCCCACTATTGGGTTCAACCCCGAGAAACACAAGACTGTGTACAAGCTGGGCGTCTTGGCTAATCGAGGCGTGGAAGCTGCCTACAAATCTTACAACAGCACCTTTTCTGATTACTTGACTGCGACAGCGGGCAAGCGGTTTGACCCACCCATCACTTTCGAAATGCAGCATGTTAGTTTTCAAACGATGTATGACTACACTGCATCCAATGAGATTGACTTTGCTTTTGTCAACTCAGCGGCGGCTGAGTGTATTTCAGCCCAATATTCAACTCAATCTCTTGCAACCATTGTTGGATCAAAGCTGAAGGACGGCCAACGATACAACACTTCGACTTTTGGGGGTCTCGTCATCACTCGAGCAGACAACGGCAATATCAACAGGATTGAAGATCTGAAAGACAAAGTAATTGGTGCAATTTCCATCTCTGGCTTTGGTGCCGCGCTCATGCAGTTTTATGAAATGGAGAAACGAGGGCTATCATATATCAATGATCCCTCTCAAATTGTCTTCACAGGGAACCAGAACCTTATTGTTCTAGGAGTATTGGAAGGAACCCTAGATGTTGGTTTCATTCGGACAGGCCAGCTTGAAAAGTCAAAAGATCGGGAGGGCGTCAAAATCGATCCCTCCTTGCTGAAGATTATTGAAGCTCGAGTGGATGAGGTGGATGGCGTCCCTTTTCCCTTCCCTCACACAACTCCACTATATCCTGAGTGGAACATTGCCTCAATGAAAGACACTCCCGAAGATGTCTCTCGAGAAGTCCAAGCTGCGTTGCTTAGATTGGCAGAACACGGAAGGACTGGCAAAGCATTAGAAACGTGTCTACTTTCAAATGCTACAGGGCTGTGCAGTGACGTCCATGCTCTGGATCCTTCGGCTCGATGTGATACAACTGTTGAGGTTGCGACTGCAGCAGCACAAGCTCTTGCTGATGGCGGGTATTCTCGTTGGCGGATTGCTTTATCAATGAACAAAGTTCGGAATGTTCTTCAAGAAACGAAGTTCATTCAAAACGATCCTGAATTGGATCTGTGGCGGTGCAATCCACCTTCAAAGCTGTACAATCAGATTACATGTCCAGACGGGACCAACAAAGTCTCGGAAACCGAGTTTGATCTGACCTGTGCACAAGCAGGTTTGGAGTGTCCTGATGGCTTTGAGTGCTTTTGTCGACCATGCATAGCCGAAACGTCGTGTCATCGGGCTGCCTATTTTATCGCTGGCAGATGTCTTAGCATCTGGCTACTCATGGCCGGTAAGCTCGGCCAACTACCCTTTGATGTATTGATTCACGTGTGCAAGTGCTCACTCTGCCCTTTCTTTCAGCAATTCTTGTTCCCATCTGTCTTATTGGTTCAATTGCCATCTATCGGTACATGAAGAGAAAAGAAGAAGAATCAAATCGACTTTGGCTCGTTGGATCAAATGAACTACACTTCCCTAGCCCCCGAGTCGTCATCGGGCATGGGTCTTTCGGTGTTGTGATGCAAGCAGAATTCCGTGGTTCGAAAGTAGCTGTGAAACAAGCATACCGGAAACAATCGAATCTTGCCGGCAAGAAGAGCTCTCAAAGTAAGAAAGGTGAGGCATCTCAAGAAAAAGCGGTACCAACGGTGCCAGAGAGTATCTCCACTCCTGATATCGAACTAGGGCTATCAGCAAGCAAGGGACCAACAGAAACTGATAGTAGTGAAGGGATTGATGAAGAGGAGGCCCGGGTCGATTTGTCTATCGTACAGTCCATGCAATTGAAGTGCTTGTCCACATCTGTTGGAAGTCATAGCTTGGAATCCTCTGATGGGACCTGGCCCACAGCACCAAAATCATCCTCGTCTTTTAAGAAAAGCTTTTCGTGGACGAGAGCAGATTTCATTGCAGAAATGAAAACTTTGTCCCAACTCCGACACCCAAATATTATTACAATCATGGGTAAGTTGCAGAAGCCAAAAAAACCCATTTCCAAACCACAAAATCATATTCTCACACCACATTCACTTGTTCAGGTGCTGTCATCGAAAAGAGATCTGTACCACAACTTATCATGGAATACATGGAGCATGGTTCCCTTTCTGAAGTCTTGCAAAATCCCACCATGGCCCTTGAATCCGAAATGATTCTTAGAATTTTACAGGATATCACCCAAGGAGTTCGTTTCTTGCATTCATTTGAGCCACAAATGGTCCATGGGGACTTGACGTCGGCCAACATCTTGATCGACTCGACTTTTCGAGCCAAGGTGTCTGACTTTGGCTTTTCTGAACGAAAGCCTACCAAAGCAACTGGCACTCCACTGTGGATGGCTCCAGAATTGTTGACAGGCAAATCCCTGAACACCACCAAGTCAGACATGTATGCAGTGGGCATCATTATTTCAGAAGTTGTATCAAGGGAAGAGCCATACCATGATGAGACAGAAAACGTTGCTGAGTTGCTTCACGCCATTGTCGATCGAAAAGAAAACAAGAGACCTCGCCTTCCTATAGATTGTCCTGTGAAATTGAGGAAGCTAATCCAGTTTTTGTGGCACCATGACCCCGAACAAAGACCAACGGCAAGCGCCCTCGACCATCGCCTGAAAGAGCTGGATGCTCACATTTTTGACAAATGCTCATTTTCAGCAAATCGTGTCAGTCGTTCCAAGATGATTGATCCAACCAACGAAGTCGACTTCCTTTACCAAGCGTTTCCAAGACATGTCGCAGATGTTCTCAGAGTTGGTGGCAAGGTGGAGCCAGAAAGCCACGATTGTGTGACTATTCTCTTCTCCGATATCATCGGCTTTACCACCATTGCTTCCAAGTTCGAGCCAATCAAGGTTTCTCAAATGCTTGATCGTCTCTATCTTAAGCTTGACACGTTAAGTCAGAAGCATGACTTGTTCAAGATTGAGACGATTGGAGATGCATACATGTGTGCCGGTAACTTGGCCAAGAACCAGAGCTCAGATCATGTGAAGCGAGTAGCCTTGTTTGCCAACGATGCCATTCAAGCAGCTTCGGAAACCTTAATTGATGAAGACGATCCTTCGTTGGGATATGTGCATATCCGTGTCGGGTTCCATTCAGGCCCAGTAGTGAGCAATGTTGTTGGATCATTGAATCCACGCTATGGAGTGTTCGGAGATACCGTGAATGTGGCATCTCGAATGGAGAGCAACTCTGAGGATGGCAAAGTGTTGTGCACAAAAGAAAGCGCCCTGTTACTGATGTCACAGAAATCGGATCTTCTAGTTAGATTACGTGGGGAGACAGCCGTCAAGGGGAGAGGGAAAATGACTACCTATTGGATAGGCTGAATGACAACTGGAGTGCTGGATGTTCTGTTCCCACACTGTTCGGCCAAAGCTAGCTTTGTGGACCAGGCGCTTCCTAGCATGATTAGATGCAGGGTGTTTACTTGATTTTTCTTTTTATACTTAAAAATGTATTCATAAATTCTATGATAAAATCACGCGGTGATCATCGTCACTCTCTTTCGTAGTTCTACTGTACTGTTTTGAGTTCGTTGAAAAATCTATCAAATTTTTGTTGATCGAAGAAGTCAACATCGATTTCGACTAATACGATACCATACGATATGATGCTCACCGAGAACCGTCAACCTTTTATCCAACTTTCTCATTCATACCGGTAGTATCAAGATGTATTTGCCACTTTCAACCTGTCTGTTTCTGACAGGATGGATCATGTATCGAAGCCTCAGAGAGAAGACACAGCAACGGCTAAAGATGTTCTAAATGTTTATGCAACCAATACGCGTTACAAGTCCACGGAAAGCCATCCTTGGCAAAGGCATTCGTTGCCCATTGATCATGACGAGACGTTGATGGAATTCCGGCAACGATTAGTCGAACTCTTCAAGCCCTTCTACAACAACACTGATATTCCAAGTCATGGGGGTGAAGCAACCGTGACGATGATCGCAGTCGATTCGGATGGAATCCTTCTTTTCAACGATGCCTTGCAAGAGGATGAGAGCTTGTATCAGAACAGTTTTAAAGAAGGTCAGAAAGAATCATCGGAGCGACATACCCGAAACTCAAAGTTTAGGTATAGGGACTTTCAAGCATTACATGAGCTGGGAATTCAACCTCAGTCCCATATCTACGCATTTCCGACTTTCACCACAAATCATCGATGTGCTGTATCGCTTCATCTCAAGTTTCCACCCCCAAACCAGAATGACCCGGTATTAATCAAACTACCAAGCCTTTTCTCTCCTTGCATCATGGTCAAGGTTATTTTAGTGGATTTACAAGAGCAACAAAGGGAACGTCAAAATGTAACAACGGGAACACTGCTACAAGGAGAAAGCCACGAGGATATGGATATTGACAACAATGAAAAGGACCACAACAAGCCTGGGGTAATGATGGCGAGCACCAACGGACCAACGATTAGGCGCCATCGTAGTATCGATAGAATGCGGCTGCTTTTCGCCGGAAAGCAACTGGAAAATTTTCGTCGTCTTGTGGACTATGGGATTGGTTGGGATGCTACGATTTTCGTATTGTATCGACAAGAGGACGCATCGTCATCAGCAGGAGGGAACTGAAGGGTGCTGGTGATTGATTCTTATTGCAAGGGTCATACCACTCGTTTTACAGCTTTTAAGCAATGCAGAGTTGGGTCAGGATCTAAAGGGCGAAGTGAGTGAGTCAGTCGTCGACATTTCAAATCTGATGGTGGCTCTGCTGGTTGTTTGTCTGCACTGGTTCTAGGGCTGGAGATAGCGGGGACACGTCACAGCAGTTAGTTCTTGACACAATAACGTTGTGCTGGTTGGCTCCGTATTGGTGGGAAATGAAATGTATGGGAAAGTAATAGAGACATGGCAGAGCATAGGGGGACTTCACGCCTGCAGTGCGGTTCGAAACAGTATTTCGTGTTGGCACTTTCCCAAGCACTCGAATGAGTCGAATCGCACTTTGGTTCATTTTTATTTTGTTGTCACACACAAATTCGAACCACCGCTGTCGAGTTTTTCTCATCAGCAACAACTGAACGAGACCACGCAACGACTCGTTATGATGCCAACTCTACAACACCCTCATCGAACACAGTGTCGCAGAGTTTCCTTTGACCCGATGATGCCAAACTCCAAAGACGTGAACCCAATGATCATCCAAACTGGCCAGCACAACCACATCAACCTCGCGTCCTCTGCCTCTTCGACATTACCACCACCGCCACCACCTATCGCCACCTCTACCTCTACTAGCTTGCAAAATCGCCAAAACAGTCGCATTCCAAACAGTAGTATTCCTTCCTTGGGCCGTCAATTGAAAAGGTTGCGTGACAGCAATACGTCGAATCAGGCACAAGCGGCCGTTCTAGCGCTCCAACCTATTGTCCACAATTGGATGCAAACCGACTCGAAACAAAAGGCTTCAGCTGTAGCGCAAGGATCATCAAGTGTCAACACAAACGATACTTTCCCCGATGCGCTTGACTTTGGCAACACTACCACCAGCAAGGGCATTCCTGGCAACACTCCACACCATTCTTCCATCCCACCAAGCACTTTTCGGGCCGATACTGGGACTCCTTCTTCTTTTTCGTCTTCTACCAATGCCGGTGAACACTTTCAACAGCTTCGTGGGGTTCCCATTTTAGTCTTGGCATTCAAGGAATGGGAATCCTGTTCTGTGGTGGTATCCACCATTTTACGCATTTTGGCAAATTTGCTCCACAGGGAAGCCACCATTGCCCATGCGCTCGTCGAAATGGGAGGCCTTCGTACCATTGTGCGCGCCATCTCCAAGCAGCACGAATCCAAGAATGAAACGGTATTCACTGCCTGTGTGGCCTTGCTTTCCGAATTGGCCCAGCACATGCCGTCAACTGCTGGATCGGATGCCTGTCTCGCATTGGTCGTTCACTCGTTGTGGCGATTTCCAACGAACGGTTACTTGCAAGGGTTTGGTTGTCTCTTTATGGAACGTGTCCTACTTCCCAAACTCCTACTCTGGGGGGTCTCTAAACCCACCACCAAGCCCTTGCCGCCGCCATCTGGTGGCACTACTATTGAGGGCGACTCTCCTGGTAACAACGAGGAAGTAGTGGAGGAGGAGGATGCTTGGAGCATTACGACCATTCACCAAGAAGACACACTCCAGAAAGTCGTGGTCCCACTTTTGATTCGCATGACAAAGTACCATCATGGTTCTAATCCTGCCCTCTGTCAAACCGCAGAACATTTGTTTCATTGTATCAATGAAAGATTGAACAACAACAACAACAACAACGGGGTTGAATTTGTCCCAACAACGAGCGATCAATGGAGTAGTAGCAAATAGCTTGCTGGCTAATGCCAATGCTAATGCCAAATGTATTATACAACACAAACTGTCTGTACTTGTATACTGTGGTATTTTTTTTATGATTACGAATTATTACGATGTTACAAAACAACCATGCAATAATATCAAAAAAATTGCATGCAGGATGTATTCTTTTTAATGATCCATCTCATGTGAGTTGTCCCCAACCTTTTTCCAACACAGTTTCCATAGGTACAACTACTGTCCAATATGGAAACAGAAAAAGTGAGTGCTCCCTCCTATCTTTTCTTGGATGGATCGTCCAATTGTCTTTTTACTTCTCATTTTCTTTTTTCTTCTTTTGAGGTATTAGGCTCGAAGGTTTAGCTTGAAATAAAAGATGGGGTTGAAGAAAGGATCCAATATCATTTCTCCCATTCCATTGTGAGAAGCAACAAAGTCTCCTCCTGCACCAGTAACCCAGAAGCGGCCTTCGTCTTCAAAGACATATCCACTGGAAGCAACCGTGGCAAATTGGAAAAATTCTCCTCCATTCTTATCAAAGGTGAAAAAGAAGTCGCAGCACCATTGGGGTTCTGCCAGGCAGACTACGCACGAACCGGTGGCGACACCAATCTCGTCTTCGCCAGCTTCCCATGTTCCAGTAGAGTCGTTAGCGAGGGCCATCGGTCCAGAAAAGACAAACTTGTCGCCCAAGACTTCAGTTTCTCCAATGACAGTGTCTCTGAATTCTTCCATTGTCTAATAATAATGAGAAAGCAAGAGAGAAAGAAACGAAGTTGGTGAGCTACAGATTGATGATTGACGATTGATTCCTATACATAGCACATGTACCCGGTACACGGCAATAATGTCTGATGGACACTTCTTTCAATGCGATACCATGCGACAATTCGATCAATACAATCAAGATAGCAGTAAGACTTACAACCACAAAGGACACTTCAATTTCATCACCATCGATCTTGACATCACCATTTCGGGAGATCATCTTGTCGCCCTTATCAGGGGTAGTAGTAGTAGTACCATCGGTCGCAACGGTTTCTTCTTGTGCACGACGTCTAGAACGTTCTTCCATGAGAGCCTTCATTTCTTGTGCACTTGCTGGTGGATGTTTCGCGGCTGCTTCATCCTTGTTCTTGTTTCGATACATGGCTTGAGAAGCATTCAACAAGGAAAGGAAGAAAACGACTAGGAACTTGGTGCTCATCATGATGGAATATACAAATTGATAGTTTGTTGAATGAATCAATAAAAGAATGAATCAAGGATAATATTTACAAATGAATGTGAAGGTCAACTTGCTTTTCTTTCACAAAATTCAACGATGGAGTTGGACACCCGAAAAAACAAAAGCTTCCCACAACGAGTTTAGAGCTCCGGCATCCTTGCTTGTGGGTGAATTCAAATTTGAAATCTAGTACGCGCACGGATGGAGGGGTACGCGTATCCGATACGACATACTTATTTAGACGGATCGGTTCAAAACTGTCTAGGTACGACTGTCAAACGGCGGGAAATAAGACTTGGATCAAGGATGAATTGAATTACTGGAAGCAACTGGTTCCGTCACTGAAACAACAACAAATTTCAGTATCCAACTCCAAAGAGACGAAACCTAACGCAACAAACACAACAAGAAGTCATAAAATCGTTTTGATCTAATCTCCAAGAAAAACTGTCATGATGAAACTTTCCTTTGTGTCTACGTCGTCGCTTCTTGTGGCAACCACGCTCTTGATCTTGTCCACCAACATGTCGGTGGTGGATGCCAAGCTGATGCCATTCTTGGATCCTTTTGCAAAGGAGGTTGGCTCTGTTGGTGCTGCTGTCGATGGAGGACGATCGCTGTCCCAGCATGAAACCTTTGAACAGCATGCTCAAGAAATGAAGAAGCTTTTGAACAAGCGAAGGATGGAAGCAACTCGTCGCGAACTTGAAATGAAACGACGACTCAAGGCTGGTCATCCTGCTGCTGCTGCTGCTGCTGCTATCGATGCTACTACAACTACTGCTACCACCACCACCACCACTACTACCAAGGAAGCTAACTTTCATCGAGCCTTATCTACCAAGAAGAGTGCAATGGCCATGGAAGGTACCAAAGGTTCCAAAAAGTATTCTACCAGCAGCAGTGCCAAGAGTGGAAAAGGATCCTCCAGTTCGAAAGGAAAGGGAGGCAAAGGTACCAGCAAGTCCTCCAAAAAGTCCTCCAAGAGATCCAGTAGCAGCAGCAGCAGCAGCAAGGGTGACATGGTCACAAAAACCCAACCACCGACGAGTTCTCCTCCTACTTCCTCCCCTACCATGTTGGCATCATCTTCTCCTACCATCATGATGACAGAACCTCCAACGATGATGAGTGAAGATCAAGGTCCTATTAGTGGCGACACTATGCCCATAAGCGAAGACGAAGGCCCCATCAGTGGCGACGCTATGCCAGTGAGTGAAGATGCTGCACCTATTGTCAGTGAAGACGAAGGCCCCATCAGTGGCGACGCTATGCCAGTGAGTGAAGATGCTGCACCTATTGTCAGTGAAGACGCAGGTCCTATCAGTGGCGACGCTATGCCAGTGAGTGAAGATGCTGCACCTGTTGTCAGCGAAGACGCAGGGCCTATCAGTGGCGACGCTATGCCAGTGAGTGAAGATGCTGCACCTGTTGTCAGTGAAGACCAATTTCCCGCGAGTGAAGACTACCGGGCACCTGCCATTAGTGAAGATGAGGAAGGCCCCATCAGTGGTGACATGGCAAATAGTAGTGACGGTGGAGCACAAGGTGGCGGCGAAGATGACACTGCTGATGATTCGGATGCGGCAACTGATGGTGAAGATGAGCCATCCACACCAGGAGACAGCCAAGGGTCAGATCAAGATGGCACTGCTGATGATGCCGATAGCAACGGCGGTGGTGGTGAGGATCAAGGCGGCGTTTTCGACAATATTGGTGAGGATGTCATTGATGATGAAGACGAAACTGAAGATGAAGAACCTGTAGAACAAGAAGTCGAGACCCTTACAGACATGTGGGAATTTGCAATGGTAAGTCAATCCATACACACAACACGTTTTGCCCAATGCTGGTTATATCATTTCTTCTTGAAACTCACAACAATCTTCTTCCTCCAAACACAACTGTAGGTCCGAACCACAGCTGAATCCACTGACTCGCCAGAAAACTTCCACATGACCAGTGTTGTCGCCATGGCGGGGGCCATTTACGACTATTCTCCCGAAGGAACCATCAATACAGATGAGGCCGTTGGCGATTTTAGTGCGACTTGTATTGTCACCAGCATGAATCACGACGTTCTTTGCACCTACAAGGTACATCTCGCAACTCCAGGTACATTTGGTATTGGGGAGTTTATTGCTCGAGGACACGTCCAAGATCACCAAACGGAGAACTTTGCCTTGGTGACTGGAACCGCCTTTGACTGGTCGCAGTATACCAAGGGAGGATCTTTGACCATGCAACCAAATCCAGAAGATCCTTTGACTTTGGTGTGTTCCTTGACGCTACGGTACCCCAAGGATGCCGTCACCAATTAGATAGACTTGCTCTTTCCTTGTGCCTATAAGGCACACAAGAATAGCTCATAATTGCATGTATAGTAGAAATTTTATAATACATTTGATTCACATGGTATTACAGATGTGTTCTCTGGTCTATAATCTCGTGAACAATAATATTATTGACTCTACGGTAAACCTTGGTTATTCCGAACACTTTGGTAAAAGCAATTGTACATGGGTAATTGTCTATTTGTATGACATGCTGAAGTCAGTACTATTGCATTGCATACAAAGAGCACGCTAGCCCGTCGCCTGGGTGTCATCGAGTCCGGTATCAATTAATCTCCAACTTGTTGGGAATTCTCTGGCATAAAATTGTTTCTTCACTGGATAGTATTCTTGCATATGCAGGTAACGATCATCGACAGCATAGTAATAGCTTGGCACAATCCCCATTTCGTAGCCCGGTGTCTGGTGATCATCCGCATGGTATCCTCGAAGTCGATTGATGTATCCAGTAAAGGTGCTGAACCAACAACCATAGAATACTCTTCCTCGACTCGAAATTAGCTGGTCAATCATACCTAAGAAGGAGGAACAGGAAGAACAAGCCCCATGAGTTTTGGTCGACATCAAGACTTCTCACAGAAATTGGAAGTGAAAACGTACCGTAGTAATTGGTGTTCACCCCTTCGAGTTCGTGCATAAAATCGTCCAAAAAGACTACATCGTAATGTTCCTTCATCAGATCAAACCACTCCTTCTTCTTTTCGTCTGTTGCAACATAGAGAGTCGAGCCTTCAGGAATGTGATCTTTGGTCTTGTTATAGACAACCCACACCGGAACCCTAGTTGGCTTGAATTGGAAATCTCCCCTTCGAACGTGTAATGTATCAAAGTCGCCATGGACACTTTTCTCTTTTGCTCTTTTCCGGATTGCAGCGACTACTCGTGCGGCAGCACACTGGATTTCGTCGATGTATCGGACGTGATCTCGAACAAAGCGCTTTGTCCATAAGTCCGTCTTCCAATCTGCAAAAAAGAGAAAAGCGTAGAAATGGACCAACATCCGAGACTGGTACTGTCCCGTACGGCCGACGGGGAAATGGAGCCAAGGGGTTTCTTGCAGCTCTTTGTCGTAGAGACAAAGCCCCTTTCTATCTGCCCAATTCTCTCGCATCCGATCCTTGATACTGGCATCTACAGGAAATGGTATGCCAACAAAATCCTCGTAGCTGGGATAACCTTCTTTCTTTATTTCTTCATGAACATCAATCAGCTCTTGCATGTCTTTTTCCGAGCTGGATTTTGGGAATGCCGCTAGACAATTATCAGGATCCCAGTTCAGCATCCGTGAGGACTCTCGCAACCAAGTTTTGAGTTCATTCAGTTCCCGACCCTCACAGTCATTCCAATCAGTCCGATTCCCAGGTGGAAATACGGGGTTGCCAGAAATTGGATCCTTGAATCGTCCATCGAGGAAAAGTTCCAAGAATTGTTGCATAGTTATAATGTCCAAACCCTTGTGTTCTTGGCTGATGCTTTCCATGTGGAAGAAATGATCGAAGGAGAATGCGTTCCTTTGATTCTTGTCCTTCTTGCCGAGAAGATACATTTTTTGGTGCGGTGGTAGCACCAGTGTTCTACCCATAGCAAATGCAGTGGCCTGTTCATTCGAGACGTGAGCACATGTATACTATAGCATCAGTCAATGGAAGTTTTACAAGACGACGAATCAACGCACCAAAAGGCTCTCCATTGCCATACGGATATTGTTCCAACCTCCAGAGTCTGGTTCAAAAGTCATGTATTGTGAGATTCCAGGCTTCTTAAACGGCGAAACATGATGAGAATCGGACGGAATGTCTTCCCAGTAAACCATTTCTTCTGCCTCTTCATTCGAAGGACCGCCCCATTTATCACAACTCAATCCAGCCAATCGGTGTTCATGTTCGTTCGTTGGGCTGTGGATGGTTCTGGATGTGGTTGTCGTTGTCGATTGTGGCTCCGCCTGATGGACTCGTTCCGTAGGATAAGGCATTTTTGTCATGGACGGGGTGCCAAGTGAAGCCTGAAGATGTCTTTCCATATCCTGCATGGTACTTAGCATCACTGTATCCGTAAACCGGCTGTTCAAACCGATGAGCATGCACGCAAAAAGAAACATGATGATCATGAAGTATTGTGTCAATAATGAGCGGCTCGAGCCATCGTCAACTTTCCGTCGTCTCGTCGTCACGGAAGCTGATGTTTGTCGTATCACCATTATTCGAATTGTAGAAAAGTGATAGAACTGTGCTTGTGGTATGGTTATCTCATGCTGTCTTGGAACTTTTAATTGTGCCCTGTCATTTTTCATGTTGGAAATCATGCACATGGGAGTTGGCACGGTCCAGCCTTGGACCTTGGACCCATTCCTGGGTAATGGAGGAATGG